CTAGTTGAGCTGGGACAGTAAGGCAGCCATGGCTGTGGCCTGAGCTGGCCCCTTGCGCAGGCGCCTTTCTCAGACGTGCCTTCCCATCCTTCCCATCCAAGGTAAAAGTAGCAAATTAGCTGTGGCCCTAAAACCTCCAGGAGCACTCCGACGCAGCTTTGCCCAAAAGGACAAGCGACTCACCACGGCTGGGGGCACACGTAAACAGGCGCCCCTCTTCCGGTGCATAAGATGCCCAACTTCATTGACATGTCAAGTGGACGGGCATGTGTTGCCCAGTTTGGCAACAGTTTACACATCACAGAGTGAGGATCTCGCTGCTTCGACATTCCCGGAATGACAGACCGAAGCTACCTGGGAGGCATTAAAGCATCGCAACTTGTGCTGCAGCACAGCGCCTGCTAGAATGTCGGCCGCCGTGGCCCTGATCACAGCGTCATGCTCGCGCCCCACATGGCATAGACGAGCTCGTGTTGTACACCATCTTGGCTCGTCCGCCATCTTGTCCGCCATCTTGTCCGCCATCTTGCTCATGTAGCAACCAGGGCCGTGCACAAAAGCAGCTCCCACCTTCATCTAAGTCTGCAAGCTGAATCAAAAGCAGCTGCAATGCATTACGACATGACGCGCACAACAAGTTACAAGATGTCACAGGCTTTAAAAGCCGAGTCATCTCCTGTGGATTTTAAACCGCCCCCAAGAAAACTCGCCCAATGGACACCGCTGTCCTTGCTGCCCGGGCAAGGAGTAGATGTTCGCGTATATTTGCTTCGACTTAGGCATGGCCCAAGACAGCAACGAAACCAAAAACCTTCCTTAAAGCCTTAGGTTTGTCAAATTCAATTGCTCTCAAATCGTACGCAAGACTGCTGAAGATGACACGAACGCGATCACGGATGAAACATTTGTTCGTCGCGAACGCGCAAGGAGTCGCAACAGTTGATACGGCCGCAACGACAGCGACTGTCAGTCGTAAGCTGCATTGCCTGTTTCAAAACTTGGCGTCGGATTCGGCAAAGCTTGTGGTTCGTCAGAACTACGACTCGATTGGATTCGAGACTTGGCGTCGACTTGTGAAGAAGTTTGCGTTGCCTGGTGCTGCTTGTCTGTGCTACTATTTAAGTATGGCTCAGAGTCAAGGTCTGCGTAAACAACCCCACATCATCAAATCGACAGACATTTGACGCAAAAGAAGGAACAGAACTCGATCTACTGAATTCGGCCGCAGTTCTGATTCTTGCTCCAGCGACGCACGATCTCAGAGCAAATTTCGTCGCAGTGGCATATTCACAACCCTTATGGAGCCACGATTACGTTACCAGCACAAGCTTTTGGGTGATGCCAACTTGCCAGGAGAAGGTACAGCCTTAGAGCCTTTTTGCAAATAAAAGGAGTTAGGCCTCAATAGGATTTCAGATACAACTCCCCAATACTGGGGGGATACTTGAAACCAACTTCAAGCCGGCTTCAATAGGACTGCAAATACGATTCCCCATACTGAGTTCTCAAGAAGCCGACCAAATAGCTAGTGCCAAATATGTCGCACAAAAAAGCCTCTAGAACCGACCAAATAGCTCACGAATTTCTAGTTCGTACAAGGAAGCCTCGAAAGTTCTCGAGGGTTTTGTGGATATTGTTGCTATAGCTTTTCCAGGCCTCCGGGACTCCAGGGAGCAGGTAGGATCCACCGAGATACGGTTCGGCCGTTCAGGAGCGAGACATCAAGTTGCATCGCCATCTCCTCTTCGTGTAAGATGACAACAGTAAGTGGACAGAAGAGAAGTAATGCCTCTGCACAAACCCTCATGAACACCATGCTGTATGAAGCCATACCAGCTCTTGACAACCAGCCATGCCATAGAGTCGTCTTGGGAAAAAGAGCCACTGGACGCAGCAACACAGTTCTACGCATGCCGCGTAAGGGATGCCCGTATTCCCGAGGTGTGAAACCCTCAGCCGTAGACCTGATAGATAGATTCCCTGGATCATCATCCAACCAAGAAGGCCCTACACGGTTCTATAATCACGGGGTTGCACCATGCAAATGTGGGGCTTGCGCGGCTTGTTCACCCTGGGTAAAGAATTGCTTTCTGGCATCATCTTCCAACGAGCTCTGACCCGGCATGGCAAGACCTGCTGATGCCGTGTGCATGCAAAGAGCCCTTTGCACGCGTCTCTCCGCCTGATGAACACCTGATGCTCAGGGCCATCCTTTCTACTAAGAACTCATCGCCCGGACCTGATGGGATCCCTTATGCCTTTTATCGTCACTGTCCATCTTACTTTTCCGGGCTCCTTTGTGATAACTTATGGGAGATGTGCCTTTCCCAAGCTGAACACCCGTTGCAGGCGCTTGTCTTTATTCCAAAGCTGACAAGGGGTGCTACGCTGACAATTTTCGCCCCCTAGATATGCCTAACACCTCTGACAGGGTTATTGACTCTGCAGTGTATGCGGTACTAGCTGAAAGCCTCAAGCATTCTTTGCACCCTGCACAGGCCCTCATAAATGGTTTCAAGGAACCCCAAGCCAACTATGCGGCCATGCAGCATTACCTTGAACTCAAAAAGGAATCCTATGCTGTCATGCTGACTGACTTTGCTAAGGCTTTTGAACGGATCAATCCCTGGTGGGTGCTTGAATGCCTTGCGGCTAGAGCTGCCCCAGCATGGGTTAAAGCTTATGTCATCCACCTCATGTTTGGCAGGAGAACCCAGCATAAGATACAAGGGCACTTCCTTCCTCCTTTGATGATCAATCAAGGATTAGCGATGGGACGTGCCACCTCTGTTGTCCTCTTTTGTTTGGCCCTTGACCCGTTGATTTGCGCTCTTCAGAATGTCTCCGCCTTCATTCGCTTAACTGCGTACATGGATGATGGCAGTGCCGCGGCCAAAGGCATAAGATCGATCAATCAAGCGCAAAGAACCTTCGCCCCTGCTCACTCTGCTGGACTGCAAGTGCTGCAGCATAACTGCTTTCAGATAGGCGTTTGCGATTTGCGCAATCTTTCGGTTGAGGTCCGGAAAGCCTTCCGTACCTATGGTGCAGCTTTGCTCTCACCAAGCATGATTCCACCCTGCAGCACCCTAAGACTTGGCTTTCCATCGCTTAGCCTTGCATTGGCGAGCTCCAATGCAAAATCTAACCATACTCATTGGACAACTGGGTGAAGCGGATTGCCTTGTGATTGTCAGCGGAATTCATGCTTTCGCGTTGGGCCGTGACCTCTTGCATGCTATACAAACACATGCGCAAGAGGTGCATATGTTTTCATACTGAGTGCGTCATGCCAGTGCAGGTGCAAAACGTCAATACTCACCAAGAAACGCGTATAGAGAGTTGCAAAAAAGGGGGCAAAAGGCGACAAAGGCGGTGTGAAAGACGATTCTTGACGGCGTAGAGGCCGTGAGTGAGAGAGCCTGTCTGTTTCTGCGTAACATGTTGCAAAGGGCTTTATCGAGAATGGAGGTCCTTAACGCAACATCCGAGACTTTAGCCTTAGCGTTCCATGAAATATCAAGGAAGGAGGCATTTTCTTCCCAGTTATAGGTGGCAATCCTTCCTCTTAGCATAAACCCCAGCATGCGAAGGCTTCAAAGGTGAAGAAGAGGCTTCCAAGGCTTCGAAGCGAGAACGAAGGAGGGGACTTCGAAGGCTTCGAAGGGCAGGACGAAGGGGGCTGGGCTTCGTCCTCCCTTTGAAGCCTTTGAAGCCTTCGAAGGCCCCTTCGTTCTCATGAGCCGAAGGCTTCGAAGACTTGGAAGGGAGAGAATGATTTTTTTAAAGCGGACGCCTCTTTACTACATCAGTAGCACAGTAGGCCGTTCTTGTGGGTCTCGCAACTAGGTGTGAAACAGCTCGCCATCATCACGGAAACGGCAAAAGAACAACCAAACAACAACAACACACCACCAAGCAACCCAGCAAAGCAGACCAAGAAACCAAAAAGAAGGGGCGAAAAAGCTAAGAAACTCCCCACACGCTCAGAACTCAAACTCGTCGATGTAGTCCAAGAGCAGATCCTTGTAGCGCCAAGCTCGTAGAGAGGTCGCAAAATGCGAAATATGCCAGAAAGTCAAAATCACCATCTCAAAGTCATTTGCACAGTGCCGGTCGGTAATGCTCTTGGCGAGCCGCAGTCGTATATGTCAGCGTAGCAAGAGCGATAATGCTGGCTCAGCAAATTTCAATGTCCATCAACCACCAAATGGTCACAGGAAAGGGTGAACCCGCGATGCCCCATGGTGGTTAGCCAGTGGGGGCTTCTTGATCAACCTCTAGGGCCCGCCAAGAGCGACCTCAGAGCACACTCAGCAATAGGCCGAATCGCCGCAGTTGCAACGATAGCCTGCGGCGCATTTGAGTAGCGCCAAGCAGTGCCCAAGCTGCTCCATGGTGATCAGCCAGTGGAGGTAGCATTGGGTTCCGTCGCAAGGCCACAGTGCCAACATGTCGATGCCACGTATTGAGAGCGCTCACGCAGTGCCCAGGCTGCTCCATGGTGATCAGCCAGTGGAGTTAGCGTTGGGTTCCTTCCCAAAGCCACACTGTAAGAATCGCAACGCCACACTGTAAGAAGCCTGCAACTGACAGTGCCAGCATGTAGAAGCCACGTATTGAAAGCGCTCACCAGTACCTAGGACTTAGCAAGCAAACCACATTATATCAGGAATCACCAAACCGGTCCAGCAGAGGATACCCCTGTGAGCAGGCTGAGCGTGCCTTCTACTGCCCGTCGTGGAGTCCGGTACCGGCATAAGACAGTGCCTCATGACTAGTCTGCTGTCTTTGGTTTTGTTTTTGGCACGCAGTTGCGCAATCCCTTTGAGGCAGCCCGCGGTCGCCCTTTTGGCTCCAACAGGCATGGCGCGAGGAAGACTGGAACTGAAAACACAGGCTCTGGCTGATTAGTCCCATGCAGCCGGAGTACTCGCATCACCTGGCCTGCTGGGCCCTCCTTTTGCCGCTGGCGGTGCTTGCGGCGGTATCATAACCTGATGTGGCACGCTGCCTTTCAGGCAAGCATCGAGGGACATCCAGGTGACATTGGTGCTGGGATCCCAGACAACGGTGTAAGACCCCTTGCTGCAGCACCACACTGGCGGTCTTTGCTGGGGCGGGTGGCGGCGGCCCTCCCACCACCAGCGGCGGTCTGCATCCTCCACCCATGCATGGTTTGTTTGCTGGTGTCGGTGGCGGGGGTCCGGCTGGTTCACCGGGTCTCCCCTATGGACTTTGGCAGCATCAGGCCCACTCGCTGTCGCCCGATGGCAATTCTGAAGCAGTGTGCAGCTGCATGTAATGCCTATTCGCAGCAGTCCTGCGGCGGCGTCCGTCTTGGGTGCGAACATTTTTTGCCTTGCAGTACCTGCGACCGCTGATGCTGCCAATTGAAGAGCCAAAGGGAACAAGCCATCAGGATACTCCCTCGGCACTCAGTGTCATCTCCGAGTCTCAGCTGCCTCCGATTCAGTGAACCCATGTGGCTTTGAACATGCCCTACCCCATGCCAGTGACACGATGTGATCAGAGTAGCGGTGTCCGCTGACCCCGGCCTGATCCATGGCGAGTCTCGACCCGCTCCCATGTACGGTTCGGAAACAACGTGTAGTCGGGAAAGGCTTGCGGAAGTGCAGGGAGAAAAAACCAAGCTCGAGGCCACAAGAACGGAATTGTCATGTAAATACGCAGCACTGGTCTGGGTTTTTTCCGTCTGAAAAAGCAACCATTTTGTGTGAAAACTGCGCGTGTTCACCACGGTATCTGGTCCCTATTGCAGCACAAACCCCGCCGGTTTTGTGCCAGGCGGCCTAAGCCCCAGGTGTGTGCTGTGAAGATTGGGTTTTCCCCTTGAAGTTTCCCGCTTGGCCAGTCCCTCCAGAACCCAAAAAGACCTGCTGCGCAAGAGCAGAGGGAACTGCAGCAGAGAAGTGCAGAGTAGAAAGGTGGCATGCTTGCCACAGCAGGTGCGACATGGCACTCGAGACTCACGACTGGTACCCATGCCACTTGATCACTGCCAGGAGCCATCCCAGCCGTTCTCCCGGCGCCACTCTTGTTTAGAAGACCCTGCTTCTTCAAGTCTCATCAAAAGGGTCCCTTGGGACGAGCAGCCGGGCTGCCTGTAGTCTTTGGGCTTCCCTGAGACGGACAATCGCATTACAGACCTACAGGTCAATGTGCCTCCAACTGAGAAGTGTCTAGACCTTGAAGGTCTCTCATAGGAGGCTCAGCCCCTCGTCTGCCTCTCTCACGAAGCATTCCGGGTTCACCCTCGCCTATGTTGTCGTACGATAGCCTTCCACAGCCCTCCATACCAACACAACTCAAGCACACACCAAGTTAGCGTATTGGGCTCACTTTCTTTCTTTGCAACACCGCTACCACGTTAAAAACCCAAGATGCCAAACAAGACACCAAGGATACAACCAAGCCAAACTCTCACAAGTCCAAGCCAAGCAAGCAAGCTTAGATACTCGGACAACTGTTTTGGCTTGCAGCACTCACGCCAGCGCTCGTCAACTTGAGCCAAAGTGGAAAACGTATCACAGCTCCAACTTGACAGCTCGGCTTAAAAAACCTTAAAAACTACCCTCAAGTCACAAAACTCGACGAGAGTGGTTCCCTATGAGGCAAAACGTTCCAACATCACTGCATACTCACACTACCGGGAAAACTCCAAAAGCTGAGCAGACTCCAAGCTATGCACACAAAACTGGAAACTACAAAACTTACCGTGTCGCAGCCTCACAAAATGACGCATAGGTCTCGAACTGCACACTCTAAACCATGAACATCTTGGACAGATTCCGTAGCCCTTTTGGCTCAACCTTTCTCTCTTTGCGCCGCTCTTCCCAGCACGGGTTGCAGCGCCGTAGTAGTGCACAGGCGAAATGACCTGAAGCAGGCACCAGGTGGTTGGGTCTGCGCGTTTGCGTGATTGAGGGAGCGCATCAGCTCACAATTCCTCTCGAAAGACACACATAATTGCCGGATTCTCAACACACAACTCAAGGGTATTGAACTTGTCGATCAGAAACTGCATGTCACATCAAAAACCATCTTTGCGCACTGTCTCTCTGTTCCGACACACTTCTCAAAGGGGTCTTGTCTCTGAGCATGCTTCAGGTGGATCCAAACCGTGTCTTTCCACAATGTGAACACTGGAGAGGGCAGTCTGCGATCGCTGCGGAAGCGTGCTATTTCAAAGGTCAGACAGAGTTCACGTGGCACAAAGCCTCGCACGCAGCAAACAGCGCCTCGAGGCCTCGAGGTTATGCTCCTCCAAGTTGGAGGACGAACTGGCTGGCACGCTGCTCGCACGTGAGCCGAGTTTCGAAGAACAAAATCCAAAAAACACAACAAGATTCGAGCGGGGTGGAATTTCGAATGAATCCCTTCTCTCTCACATTCAAAATAAAGTAGTCCCCGAAGGACAATTTTGGCTCCTCGTGGGAGCCCTCTTCCGGTTCCAGCTTGCAGAGGGGCAGCCTCTGAGCTTATAGGACCATCACATCGCTTGTAGATAGGCACTGGCAATCGGGAAATTTCCAATGCTTTTTCGAGAGCTGGATCTCCCTCCAAGCACACAGAGTAGCAGGGTTTTTTGCTCCTTCCAGGCCCCGCATTGAAAAGCCAGCAGCAGTTTCCTACTGAAACGAGTTGCTTCCCATTCAGTAAACTGGAAGTCTTGCAATAAGGGCCTCTGCGCTAGCGGTTGCTTCTTTGTAGTCACGATCTTTTTCACTCGCTGGCTTGTACAGTTTGACGTTTGGCGCTTTTGGTTTTGGCGGGTTGAAGGTCCAGCAGTTATTGAGCCTCTTAGACGTTTTAAACTGCTGCCCGAACCCTCCACAATTGGCCCAGCAAGTGTTCGGCCTCTTAAACTGCTGCCTAAATCTCCACAGAAGGCCCAAGTATAACGCCTTAAACAGCTGCCCAAACCCTTTGCAAGAGCTTGTCCGCTCCCTGCTCAGGAAAGCGTGCTGACAAGCCCTCCTCCTGGTACCGTTCGAGACACCCGGATTGGGAGGGTCCATGGCAATAAAGTGCTGCGGGCCGAATTAAGGTTTGATTGCTGTATTGCTGCTTCCATGATGGAAACACCACACCAACTTCCCAATGCCGATCACGCGACAGCAGCGCAAAGCCCACCCAACGCAGGGCCCCACCAACACCCCACTTAGCGAAAAAGGGAAGGTACAAAATGGCCCAATATCCCAGCCCCATGGTGGTTAGCCAGTGGAGCAACTCCAAGCCAGAGCCAACACTTTTACGTTTCCCAAATTGGAAAATCGACCAAAGTTCCCAACACCCAAGCGCACAACTGTGCTCAGCCCGGCCACATATCCACCAGCACTGTGCGCCTGGTACCTCACCGTGTCGGTCGGTAATTCTGCTGTCCTTCTTTGATTTACAGCTTTCCGTGCTGACCTTCTTTGCACCAGTGGCTACATGATGGTGGTTTTGATGATCTGGCATCCCCTCGCATTTTGCGACTCCCCCGTATGCTCTGTGCTGCTCGATTGCACCTGGACTTCTGCGATGACTTCGAGTACTGAGCGCGGGGGGCACGTAGACGTTTGGTGCTCTGTTCTTGCGGGTTGCTGCTGGTTGGTGGTTGTGTTTTGTGGTTGTTTTGGTGTGTGTGTTTGCTTTGGTTTTCGCACCTGCTCTGTTTCACCTCCATTGTTAAGATCCCTAAGAACGGCCTACTGCGCTGCTGATGCCGTAAAGAGGCATCGGTCCAGAAAAAAAAAGAAGACTCTGCTTTTCATGCGACAACCGGATTGCAGGCCGGTATTTGGCTCAGTAGGGTTCGCAGAGGGGGGTCCGTTAGTTGTTTGTGTTCCAGCTCCCGGCTGTTCCAATAGTTCTTCCTGGGATTGGCGCGCCAGCTAGTTGAGCCGAAAGGGGATGCATACATCCACTTCTCGCAAGGCCGCCAAGTTCGTCGAGTGTACCTCCGAAAAACGCCAATTTTGCACTTGCAGCTCCACCTCTTCAGCCTCAGGGCAGGCAGAGAGCCGATGGCAAGGCTTCGTCAGCCTCCGAGGAGCTGCTGCGTCCAACCAGCAGAGCCTCTTCATGTGCCGCCACGGAGGGCTCCGTGACACATGGCACTGAGAGAAGCCCTTCTAACGGGAGGACCCTACGAAGGAAACAACAACACGTGACGTGACATCCGGCCACTCTAGGTTGTAAATCGACCAGAAGTGCTCCAGAGCTTGGCCACAGAGGCCGAGAGGGCCTGCCGTATGGCATCCAGGAAATGCACGGGAGGTGCGTTTGGCTGCAAAGGGGTAATATTGGCACTGCCCCAGCGCATGCGATCCCTCCAGGTTGACTCTCACGAAAGCATTGATGGCGGGCGTTTGCTCCTCTCGGGCAGCTTCGAGATTAGTTCGCCGGGCGGAAGCCACCCACTCGCACAAGCGTGACTCATCCACTAGTCCTACACCCCGCCAGGTCTCTCTGTCGTATACCGTGTGGGGGCAGGTGGGCCTTCGATACGCACGTCCCGCCAACAATGCTACGGTGGCCGCCGGGGGCACGTTGACCTGAAGATCGGTAGTACGTTTCTCCGTCTCAGGAAACCCCAACACAATCCGGATCGCTGTAACATAGCATCGCAGGGAACTGTGCGTTACCAACGCTTGGGATAGCAAAGAACAAATCAGCGATGTGCTGTGCAGTGGTAAGGAAGCCGTACCCTACGATGGAGTCCATGAGAGAAGCACGATCGAGCTGTGGGGCATTGCTGCCTGCATTGTTTCCAAGTCCAGGTATTGCAGAGCTCCAGAGAGCTTGAGGCAAATCGGTATAATCGGGTCGTAGATTTGCAGGTAGGCTGCTGGAAAGGTTTCCGGCAGGTGAAGGAGCTTGTCAGCGACTTCCAAGCGGACTCCCGCGGGCACAGGGCTGTTGCCCGGGAGTCTGCCTCGATTGCTAGCCAGCAGTTTGGCATCACCCAAGAGGTGTGTGAGATACTTGGCCGCGCCATCGCTCTCAGTTGCCGCCTGATAGGGCACACAATATACTGCACTAGGAAGAGGATCCAAGGTGAATCCTTGCGCTTGCAAGTCCCGCACGGTGCCCCACAATAGGACTTAGAGCAAAAGTAGGGAGCAAGCCCTTGGCACTCGTTTTTAAGGTCCCGGTAGATCCCAACTCTGCGATCCTGGGGTAAGACGATGTCAGCTACCCTTTGTTCCCGAAAGGCCTGTTTATGGGGGGCTTTAGCGACGCCAGGGCCATCTATGCTCCACAAGCTGGCTTGTGTGCGCAGATATTCCCTGCCGCTAATCAGACCTGCCGACGAGCAAGCTGCCATTTGAAAACAAGCGCCAACTCCATCCGGATAGGGTGGTGTGAGAAAGAT